TAAAGCACAGTCCGGTTGACACCTTTGAGACAGGCCAGTAAGCCAGGACAAGTGGAACAGGGAAACTGAGATAGACAGCTGCGCAAACTGACAGCCATTTACAACACATACAGAAGGTCACCTCCCTAGAAATACCATCTAGGCCTCTGTTGTATTTCAGGTCCAGACCCAGAAAAGCAGCAAAGCCAGGTAGGAGACACCGGACCAGCTGTAATGACTAATGACCCCTGCCCTGACACTGGCCAATCAGTGAGGACCGCGACCCTGAAGGAGCACAGCTAGGAAACTGATGAACACTCTGTTGAAACCCTCCCCTGAGACGCCCCCCTAAGGTTCCCATCTGCCAGAGAGAAAGAAAAGCCTCAAGACAAAGGACCAAGGACATGCTCTTCTTCCCAGGAGCTCGCTCCTGCCCCCCTGCATTCCCCGCAGGCATGTGTCTCCTAAACTCTAAAGGACCACAGGAGGCTTGCAATCAGGGCACCAATGGGCGGCAGCAGTTCATCCCAGACATACCCCCTGAACCTGTCCCCAGCCCCCTTTTCTCTGCCATCTCCGTGAGCCCAAGCAGACCAGCCTAGGCTCATTTCCCCTTTCTTGTTTCACTGTCTCTCGCTTTAATAAACGCCCTCTAAAATTCACCTGGACTCGTGTTGTGAAACTTTTTCTGCCCGAAGTCAAGAACCCACACACTGCTGGCCCGGCCCTAAGCAAACCCACCAAGGGCCACCTTTCCGCTAACACCTTGATTCTGGACTTCCAGCCTCCAGATTGTGAGACCATACATTTCTGTTGCTTTAAGCCACCCAGTTTGTGACACGATTGCAGCAGTCCCAGGAAACTCACACAGCTGCTATGAATCAATAAAAAATTAGCAAAGGACAAAAGAGGAAGGACACATGACTCTTCTAAAAGTGGCACTTAAACCCCATGTGCGTCAGTTAGCTTTTGCTGTGTTAAACAGCACCCCAACATTTAGTGACTGAAAAACAACAATTATGCCTCCAGATTCTGTGGGTTGGCTGGGCCCAGGATGGTCTTGGGTGGCCTCACGCAAAGGTCCTCCGCTGGGCTGGCTGGGACGCCCGGAGCCTCTCTCTGAACGCTTTCGCATGCTACAGGAGGCAAGTTCACTCACACAGCAGCTAAAATGTCCCTGGCAGCAAGAAATTTAGAAGTGAATCTGTAAATGTCCCTGAGTCACAGGTTCAGAATGTTTGCAACATCACTTCTGCCACATTCCGTTGGTCGGGGTTCTGAGACTGGCTCAGGGGGTTGAGGAGAGGGAAATGAACCCCATCTCTTGCTGGAAGGAGCTGCACAGAATTCATGGCCATTTGTATCTCCCCACACCACTTTCATCTACAGATTGACAAAAATAAAACAGTTCAATGGTACTTGGAATTGGCCAATCTCTGGGGAGACAGACACTCCCTTTCACTGAGTATCAGTTGGTACAACCCCATGAAGGGTCATTTTGCAATTGCTTTCGAAACTACAAATTTAGAAAAAGCTCTAGACATAGCAAAACCACTTATACTCGGGGGGGAACTTGGTGCATATATGAAATGGTACAGGCACAGTTTTTCATTGCAACATAGTTTGTAATACTAAGTGGTGGGAAAATACCTAACTGTTGAAGAGGTATATCTGTCCAACAGAAAAAAGCAAGAGGAAACTGTGTAATTCAGGTAATGTTATTTGCAAATGGAAAAATTGAGGGGCACAATAGTGTGTAGGGTACACTGCAGTTTGTGCATAAGAGGTGTGAATGCCCATATTTGCTTATACATGCATTAAATAATGCCTCTGATGTCACCTTGTGTTCAATTAAGGGTAGGAAAATGTCCCTTGCCTGCCTCCCTGTCCTTCATACTCTTTACCCCAAAAGCCTCATGTTTGTGTAGATTGTGGCCTGTTTACCCAGCCTGAGTTATCAGCTAACCTTTCAGGAGACTGGATTCTTCTAGTCACAAAGCACCAGGAGCCGCTCCCTATTCCCCAATGCCAGACTCCAGATTGGGGGACCTGCTCTTCCTTCTCCCCAATCTTCTCCCTGCCAAAGCACCCACCAGGAAAAGCCACCCACAGGCTCTTACCTTTTTCCCTTAGGATTAACACCTTCCGAAGCAAGTTCCTTGACTGTACACACTGATTGGGGCCCCCGCCCTGGAGGCTGGGAAGCATGACAGGCCGGTGGAGTCACCTTGGACTGGTCCTTTCTCTTGCCCACCCCAGCTCGAATGGCCTGCTGCTAGGCAATGAGGATGATACAGGGCACCTACTGTTCTCAAAGCTCTACACACATCAACTCACTTCCTAATTGCCTTGTTTGACAAATGAGGAAACTGAGGCTCAGGTGGCTGAAATGTCCACCCAAGGCCATCCAGTTTCAAGAGGCAGAAATGAAACTTGAACCCAGGCCACATGGCTCCATTCTCTTCTGGATGGCGTGTGGTTTCCCTGAAGCCTGAGCATTAGTACCAATCCCCCCAACACTAACTGTAGGCCCTAAAGAATGCCAAGGTAGTGGATGGACACAATGAAACCTGTTACATCTCAAAGGAGAGGCAGGGGGTGAGGGGGCTCAAAGATCATAAATCAGCAACTCTGATAGAGACCAAGCTTTAGGGCCAGAAAGCCCTCTGTAGTGGAGATAGACCTTATTTCCACTGGGCATCTGCACAAATCAAGGCTGCCCAGCCAGAGGCAGGGAGGGGCAGGAGAGCAATGCAGGCCTCATGGCCGGGAGGGTGTTGGGGGGCTGTCTTTCCTCTCCTTTCTTGGTGAAGCCCAGTGATCAAGTCATAGAGGCTTGGGTTCAAACTCTGGCTGTGTCAACATCCTCACTCTGTGGTCTTGGGAAAAGAACCTGAGTTTCCTTTTCTGTAAAACAGGAAACTCCGGGCTGATGTGCCATTTGTTAAAATATTGAGATTTGGTTGGTGAAAATTCGCTACCCAACACCCTGAGTGCCTCCAGTTGGCATTTTCTAGCAACTGAAAGGGAAACCTCAGGTGAGTGGAGGCCACCAGGATGCTTTTCTAGCAATCTGGCAGAGTTGTTACTGTGCATGGCCTGGGCGATACTGACTGATGGGCATTTTTTTTTTTTTTATCCTCACTCGAGGACACTTTTCCATTTTTTGTTCAGGTAGAGTGGGAGGGAGAGAGAGGAAGAGAGAGAGAGAGAGAAAAACATCGACATGAAAGGAACACATAGAGTGGCTGCCACCTGCATGACCAACCAACCCCGGGGACAAACTGCAACTGAGGTACGCACCCTTAGCGGGAACCGAACCCGAGTCTCTCTGGACTGCAGGCCGATGATCTAACCGCTGAGCCAAACCGGCCAGGGCGATAAGCAAATATTTTGAATATCCCTCCTGGTGTTAATATTGGCTTTTAAGACTTTGGTAAAGAGTCGGTGAGTTAACGTCCCTCTGGAATGACCAGGCAACCTGTTAATAATAGTAATAATAATAACAACATGCCCATCCACCTTCTTTGGCTTCACTGAGTAGCCCGGGGCTTCTCCCATATGCCTCTCAGAACTCAGTTTCCCCATCTCCATGATCCCTCAGCCCCTCCCCCACCAGGTGTCTCAGTGGGCCAGGGTGGTGGGTGGGGCTGCTATCTCCCCAGCCTATTTGCTCTCCCTCCGTATGGGGCTGCCACCCTAGCCAAGGACCTTGAATAAAAGGCCAGGGCACCCGTGTCCTGCTTCCTCCTCTCTGGCCTGGATCATGCTCCGGCTCCTCCCTGCTTTGGTGCTCCTTGGAGCACTGTCCACCCCAGCAGGTGGGTGCATTTTGTGGGGTCCCTCGGAGAGCTCAGGTGGGCCCACCATCACATGGGTGGTGGGAATCGGGCTTCTGAGACTGAGCCCCAGGTGCCCCCCACCTTTGCTTTTTGTCTCCCAGAGGCAGCTGAAGGGAGTGTCTGGGAGCACGATTCTGGAGCCAGGCTGCCTGGGTTCAAATTCTGCCTCTGACACTTCTTAAGTGTGTGACCTTGGGCAAGCCACTTCACCTCTCTGTGCTTCATTTCCCATCTATGAAATGAGGGTGCTAATGACCCTGCTTCAGAGGGGCCGTTGGGGGCATTCATTGAATTGATATGTTTGAGGAGCTTTTTAAGAGCTTAGACTAGTATCAGGCCACATGTGGTCCTGTCTGAAGGGGAGCTCTTATTCATAGTCAGAAGCAATTATTAACGTTCCTTTACCTTGTCTTCTCCTCTGCCCTTTCGGTTCTAAATCTGCCACCACTGGCCCAGGTTGGGAATTAAACAGCCTAGAACCCAGCCAGGATCTCACTGTGTGATCTTGGGTGAGACTCTAAGTCCATGTGGCTTCAATTTCTTCTTCTGTAAGAAGGTGTGGGACAAGGGCAGCCGTTTCTGCTTCCTAGGGACTTGAGACTTCTTGGGAGCGTCTCAGGGCCTCTCTGGAGGTCAAGAGGAAGGCTGACTGGAGAGAGGCGATTCTCCCCAGCCCAGCCTAAGAAGGGGAATTCCACTCATATCTGTTTCCTTGTGGGCTTTGGAGGAAGGTGTTGTTCAGGGAGAATTCCACAGCGAGCATGGGTGGGTTAGGTGGAGACTGCCCGCGGCTCCAGCTTGGCGATGCTGATTCCCACCTCCAAACCTGTGCCCACACTGTTTCACCTCCCCCGCCCCAGAAGCCTTTTGCACACCTCCAGGAATATGTTTCTTGATCTTCTCCCAACAATCCTCCCCACCACTCCCAGCCCTTAGTCCTGTTCTTGAATCGTGTGCGTGTGCGTGTGCGTGTGTGTGTGTGTGTGTGTGTTCTTCCTCCTCTCTCTTTCTCCAACCTCAGGTCTGATCACTCCTCTCTCCCCACAGGGACCTCCAAGAGGTGTCCAGCCTGCTCTTCGTTGGGAGACTGCCAAGAAATCACTTGTCCTTCCACCAATGACTCCTGTTTGCTCAGCCTGCTGCAGCTGGGTGAGGATGGGACAGGGCTGGGCAGAGAGGATGGTTAAAGTGGGTGGGCAGGGGTCGGAGGGAAAAGGCATGGGTAAGCCACCCTGGGACTGGAGATTCCAGACTTTGCTTCATAGCTCAGCTCAATACCACTGGGGTCAGGGGAAGGGGGGTGGTTCTCAACACCAGTTGAAGTCCCAGATTCACCTCTGGGGATTTCTTCAGAGGGGGCAGAGGTCTGGGAGGGTTTAGGCATCTCTAATCTCCCCTCCTCAACCTCTATCCTTAGAAAATGGGAATTTCATCAAGAATGGATCATGCATGGCCCCTCAGGAATGCCAAGAAGGTGTCTACGCCCTGACCTATGCCGCCAACTTGAGTCTCAGCACAGCCTGTTGTGACCACGACTGCAGCAAGTTTGCACAACCAGGTTTGTCACACAGCCGGGTGGGGTGTCACGGCAACTTGGCCTCAGTTTCAAGCTCTGCCTGGCTAGTTGGAGCAAAGAAAACCTCAGTTTTCTCATTTGGTAAATGGGTGTGAACTAAGTTTGGCAACGGGTGCATCCACCACAAAGCTGGCATGTAGCTGGCACTCCATAAATTGTAGCTGTGCTTACGGAGTCATTGGGGGCTGGAGAGAAGCCCCAGGCTCTTAGTTCTCCTGAGGAGAGGGGCTCCTGTGAAGGTGAGTTAAGCAGAACAAGCAATGTTACGGGCGGTCACAGGCCCAGGGAGGGCAAGGCCAGCGAGGCGCCCAGGGCGCACAATATAAGGAGGCGCCCACTCTCAGTGCACTGACTCTTCACTTGCACGACCTTGACCGTGAGTGCCTCCTCGCTGGATTCACTCTAGACCTGGCCCTGAGTAGTGATCAAGATTACTTGTTGTGGCTGGGTGACTTCTCCAAAGAAGGAATGTGCATTTGGCTGGGGTAGCAACAGGGAGATCCCAGACAGCTCCGCACTCCAGGCTACTAGCCATCCATTCAAACTATTGGGATGTCCCTCCTCCTAAACTGTGCACCTCAACCAAAAAGACAGCCACGTCCAAGTCGAGAGGTGGGCATTCCATTCAGAATATGAAATGTCAGTTATGATTTAAAATTGCTTTGAAGAAAACTCCTATGAATAAAAAGGGATCAAAGGGACTAACTTGAAATACTTCAAGCAACTGTTTTTTATTTTTAAATCCTCACCCAAGGATATGTTTTTAGTGATTTTAGAAAGAGAGGAAGGGGGAAAGAGAGAGAGAGGGAGGAACACTGATGTGAGAGAGAAACATTGATCGGCTGCCTCCTGTACGCTCCCCAACCAGGGATCAAACCTGCAATCTAGGTATATGCCCTGACTAGAATTAAACCTGCAACCTTTTTGGTGCACAGGACAATACTCAACCAACTGAGCTGCCTGGCCAGGGCTTGAGTAATTGTTTTTTGGTAGAGGATCGATACAAGCACTGTCCAATAGAAATATGTTAGCTATATAAGTAATAAAAGTTTTCCCAGTAGCCACATTAAAAATTGTTACAAAGAGCCCAGCTGGAATGGCTCAGTTGATTGAGCACCAAAGGGCTGCCAGTTCGATTCCCCATTGGGGTCCATGCCTGGGTTGCAGGTTTAATCCTCTGCCAGTGCCCATATGGGAGGCAGCCCGTCGATGTTTCTTGCTCACATCGATATTTCCCTCTCTCTCTCTCTCAGCATGTCCTCGGGTGAGGATTAAAAAAAAGTTACAATGAAACGGGTGAAATTAATTTTAACAATACATTTCATTTAATGCAACATACCTAAAGTATTATTTCAACACATATATAATCAAGACAACATTATTAATGAGATTTTTTTACATTCTTTTTTCAAACTAAGCTTCTGAAATGAGGGTGTATCTTATACTCACAGTGCATTGCTTAAGGAACCAGCCACATTTCAAGGGCTCAGTAGCCACATGTGGACAGTGGCCATGTATTAGCCCGAACAGTTCATAGTTATGGTTCTTTTTTAGTCTGATTTTCTGTATTTGCCAATATTTCTACATAACCCCACATTAAAATGCTTTGTGACTTAATTTGACTCCTGAAAAATATGCTTGAACAGCTTCCTCTTTAATGTCTCGGATCTCTAAGAAAGCTCTCAAAATTAGTCAGATGGTGGAGAGGCTGGAAGTCACAGTCCCATCCCACTCTTTTGCAGAATACCACACTATCTTAACACCTAACATAACAGGATCGCTTTTAATCCCTTTTGGAAGGTGAGGTCCTTAAGTGCAGGCTCTTGTCTATGTGGTCAGTGCTATCTCTCCAGAACAGGGCCACAGTACTACTCAAGAACACAGTAGGCACTCAAGAAATGTTTGTAGAATGAATGAAAGGACACTTAGGAGTCAGTATAAAGGTTCGTTTAGGACAAAGGAACAGTGTGGGGCAGTCCCACCCATGGCTCTGTTTGCTGTTCCTTGGAATAAGTCTTCAGGGGCTAGAAGGAGGGGACTGAGACCAAGCTGGTCCCACTTTGGAGGAAAACGTTCTAGATTATGGTGGGTGGAGGCAGCAAGAACAGAGGGCTGGTGGGGGAAGGAAAGGTGTTTCCCACCCTGACTATACCCACTCCCACCAGAGGAAGAGCCCAAAGCCCAGCCCAATGGGGTGAAATGTCATTACTGTTCTGGGGATAAGTCGGCTCCGTGTGACTCCCTTTCGGTTATGAACTGCACTGGCTACCAGACTGCATGTGTCACCCTCAAAGGGACCTGGAATAAAGGTAAGGGCTCCCTTCTGAAGGTCATTTGCATGGTGAGCCTCCCTCCTACCTGTACAAATAAGTGTTGAGGTTCATTTGCATGTGTTCCGGTTATTTATTGCTATGTAACAAATCATTTGTAAATGCAGTAGCTTAAAACAACAACATTTTATTAACTCATAATGGGGTAGGAATCCATTAAGGGCTCAGCTAGACAGTTCTGGGTCTCTCACGTGGTTGCAGTCAGAAGGTGGCTGGAGCTAGAGCTGCAGGGCTGAGGGCAACTAGGGGCTTGCTGAGCATCTCTGTGACACAGAGACTCAGGGGCCTTTCCAGCTGGTCTCTCCTCATTGGTTAGTTTGGGCTTCCTTACATCATGGCTGCCACCATCTTTGCATGGTGGCTGAAGACTTCAAGAGCTAGTATTCCAGCAAACCAAGTAGCAGCTGCATGGTTTTTGACAGCTTAGCCTTGGAAGTCACATCATGTCCCTTCTACCATGTTTTATTGGTTGAAACAGTCACAAAAGTCCATTTAGTTTCAAGGGAGGAGGCGCAGAAACTTACCTCTAGACGTCTCAAAGAATTTGCAGATGTTTTTTTAAAAATCCCCACTATGTGTTTGCGAATGGTTGGAGCAGAGGGTTTTTGAGCGAAAGGCTTAGAATAGAACCACACTGACCAGAGGATACACTGAATATGAAGCCAATAAAGTGACAGAGAGAAGTGGCCTGGGCTTCTGCTCCTGACAGCATGGTGGACTAGGTCCTTTGAAAGGTTTTCTTGCTACAAACAGTGGCACATTGGGAGGCTGGGGAGGGTGAGCAGGAGTGGTGGGGGTGGTCCACCTGGCTGGGAGGAGTGCTTTATCACTGCCCTTGTTTAGAAATGCCAGTATATAGTGATGATAAAAAGCAGATTGACTTTTAGTTGGCTGTATATTTTTGTATTAATTTATTTTTGTTACAGAGGTTTCTCCTTTTTCCTTCCTAGACACCCTCCTCCCGATCCCATCCCCCACCTCCTTAGTTGACTTTATTATTGTTTTTGTGTTTTTTTTTATCCTCACCCGAGGACATTTTCCCATTTTTTTGTTCAGGTAGAGTGGGAGGGAGAGAAAGGAACAGAGAGAGAGAGAGAGAGAAACATCGATGTGAAAGGAACACATAGAGTGGCTGCCACCCGCACGATCGACCAGGGCCGGGGACAAACTGCAACCGAGGTACGCGCCCTTAGCGGGAACCGAACCCGGGTCTCTCAGGACCGCAGGCCGACGCTCTAACCGCTGAGCCAAACCGGCCAGGGCTTATTATTGTTTTTAAATGCTTCACAGACTATACACTTCCTTATAGCCTACTCCCAGGAGAGATTGCTCCCACTACCCATCTTCCTTGGTATGCCTCTGTTTATAGATGAACTGGAAGCTGTAAAAAAAATATTTTTCCATGCTTTTGGGGGCTTATAGGAAGTTAGGGAAATTTCCAAGGGTCTAACAAAATAAGAATGTTAACAGATTCTTATTAACAGCAGTGAGCAAACAGGGAAGGGCACAGTGGCCCTGAGAGAAAATATTTTTATCCTCCTTATCCAGAGAAAATGCTGATAACAGTCTGCTTTGGGTGCTGAGCTCTTAGGTTAGCAGCATAGTTGGAAGCTGACCCTTAGACTCCCATATATGCCAGGAACCTTGGAAGGAGGCTGAAATGATCCCAGGTATCACCTCCTCGTTCTCAGTATAAGCCAAAGAAAGTCCTCTCCAGAGAAAAGCCACCAGGACTTCCACAGATCAACACCAACCAAATATGAACTCACAGTCAGAGCTCATGAAATGTACAAGGAAACAAGCCACCATGAGCGATAGCAGAAGCAATGAACAACAGAAGTGGACCCACGAGGAAGCCAACTATTGTAATTATCAGCTCCAGAACAGAACTATAGGTGATATATTTGAAGGAATAAAGTTAGAATCACAAGAACGAGCAGGCAATGAGAGGTTGTAAGAAACGACCAGGCATATTTGAAAATGAATTGTATAGAACTATCAAGAGAGACAGAGAAAGATAGACACGAAGGTGGGAGGTTCAGGCTCTGAGTCCCCGCTGAAGCTCCCCCCTGTTTCTGTAGGGGGCCCCACAATTCTGAAGGGCTGTGCTACACCAGAGTTATGCAGACTGCCTGTGAACACCACCCTGGGCCCGGAAGAATATGGTTTTCATCTCACAACCCAACCTGAATGCGACTACAAGGCTCCTCCCACCCAACCAGGTACTTTGAACCTTGATTTCCAGAGACCCTACCCTCTCTGCCCTCCCTGGATCCCACTTGTCCTTCCCAATCCTGTATCTTCCCAGGATACACCCTCCCCTGACACACACCACCTGACACACCCAGAAGCAGAAAATTCCATTGGCACATATCCACACATCCACAAACATCCACATTTATATCCTGGCACCCACAACAGACCCCTAGAGGAGCATGCATTTCCAACCACACATCCTGTTGTGTAAGTGAGATTAGAGATCTAAACTTGGTTTAAATAAGAAATCTGACCGTCTCTTCCTTCCTGTTTTCACTTTCTTGCATGTGAAACAAGACACTTGCCAACAGTCTCCTTTTGGCTTAACAAAGAACACTGACAATACATTTTGTCTTCCAGAAAAGAGAGATGCTAATTGAGATAGTACTTACAAGGGCGACAGCTTTCTAAGTGAGACAGCTGAACAGAATTACACACGTTTCAGAGATGAGAAAGGAACTTTTCAAACCTGGGTAGGGCAGCATTTCTTCAATTCCAGGGACACAGTAGACACTTTTGCTAGAAATCCCCGGGCAAGAACGGTTTTGTGAAACAGATATTTTTGCTGAATCTTCAGGCAAAGAGGGAATATTCTTACTTATGCTTTCTCAGATTCCCAGCTGCTAGGAGTTTTACTTTTCAAAACTAAGCAGTGATGCCCTGGCTGGTTTGGCTTAGCGGTTAGAGCGTTGGCCTGCGGTCCAGAGAGACCCGGGTTCAGTTCCCGCTAAGGGCACATACCTCGGTTGCAGTTTGTCCCCGGCCCTGGTTGGTCCTGCGGGTGGCAGCCACTCGATGTGTCTCTTTCACATCGATGTTTCTCTCTCTCTCTCTCTCTCTCTCTCTCTCTCTCTCTCTCTCTCTCTCTCTCTCTCTTCCTCTCTCTCCCTCCCCCTGTATCTGAACAAAAAATGGAAAAATGTCCTTGGGTGAGGATGAAAAAAAAAACCTAAGCAGTGAATTAAATTACTGATCACATTGAGGTGGGGGGGATGTAGATATGGGAGCTCAGAATTTACAACATGGAAAGGAAAACAGGCAAAATAGAATTACTAACAACTGGAACACAGGCCATGACATTTTTTCATATACAATTTCTCTCTCTTTCTCTCTTTCTTTCTTTCTTTCTTTCTTTCTTTCTTTCTTTCTTTCTTTCTTTCTTTCTTTCTTTCTTTTGTTAATACTCACCTAAGGATATTTTTCCATTGATTTTTAGAGTGGAAGGGAGGGAGGGAGAGAGAAAGAGAGAGCAAAACATCAATGTGAGAGAAACACATTGATTGGTTGCCTCCCGCATGACCCCAACCAGGGCTGGGGATCGAACTCTGCAAACCAGATATGTGCCCTTGACCTGAAATTGAACCCACGACCCTTCAGTCAGACACTCCAGCCTTTGAGCCAAACCGGCCAGGGCTCATACACAATTTCTACGGACACATAACATATCCATGCAGGGACACATTGCTTGTTAGATCCACACATGTGGACTGGGAAAGAGGTACAAACACACAAATATATAAAAGCACAACATATCCACAGACACACTGAAACACGTTACCATCCACAAACATTAACATCCGTACACTGCCTTATATATCCAAGCACCCCAAGTCTTGCTGGAAACACAGACACATCCAGACACACACACATGCACACACATACACAAAACTAGTCTTACACACATGCACATAAAAACCTGCTTTCTTCGCACAGGTATACATATACACACCTGCTGGCGCAGGCACCCATGGAGGCACACACACAAAATCCCATCCTCCCACAGACAGTTCCAGAACACACAGACAGAGTGCAACATAGGCACGCACAACCACGTGTGCACAGAGAGAGACAGGCCTGCATGCTTCTACACACAAACTGCATCATGGCAGACGTGCACACACACGGTGTAGCTGCACACTCACAGGAACACACCGAGGTGCCCAGAAATGTATACACACACACACACACACACACACACACACAGGTTCTTCTCCAGCAGCTCATCTTCCTCTCTTCCCAGGTCCCCATGCAACTCCGACCCACACCAACGTTAAAGTCACCACCTGTTTCACCTGCTCAGACAGCCACCATTGCAACGCTTTCTCCTGCCCGCCAGATAGGAACTACTGCCTCCAAATGGCAGGCATCCTGGGTGAGTATCCCCCCGGGGAAAGGATTGGGGGGCGGAAGTGGGGCCTGAGGCACAGCACCCCTCTCCTTGCCCTCTCATGTCTGCTACCTTTACTGCAGCCACAGTAGCCTTTTCCTGGCCACGGAGGACAGAGGCCGGGGCAAGAGAGGATGTGAGTTTAAAATCTGATGCCACATTTGTTTAGCTATTTATTGCTGAATAATAAATCGACTCATAACATAGTAGCTTGACAAACAAAACAGAAAAACACTCATAGATACAGAGAACAAATTGGTGGTTGTCAGATAGGAGGGAGGTGGTGGGGCTGGGTGAAAAAGATGCAGGGATTAAGAAGTACAAATTGCCGCCCTGGCCGGTTTGGCTCATCGGTTGGAGCATTGGCCTGTGGTCCAGAGAGACCCGGGTTCGGTTCCCGCTAAGTACCTCGGTTGCAGTTTGTCCCCGGCCCTGGTTGGTCGTGCGGGTGGCAGCCACTCAATGTGTCCCTTTCACGTCGATGTTTCTCTCTCTCTCTCTGTCCCTCCCACTCTATCTGAACAAAAAATGGAAAAATGTCCTCAGGTGAGGATAAAAAAAGAAGTACAAATTGCCAGTTATTAAAATAGTCACGGGGATGTAAAGTACAGCATAGGGAAGATAGTCAATAACATTGTAATAACTACGTATGGTGTCAGACAGGCACTAGGCTTATTGGGGTGATCACTGTAAGTTATATAAATGTCTAATCACTCTGTTGTACCCCTGAAACTAATATGATATTGTATGTCAAATGTAATTGAAAAATAGTTTGATCCCAGGTTTCGGCACCAAAAACAGAAAACAAACAAACAAAAGTAGTGACTTAACCACAGAAGGACAAATACTGTATGATTTCATTTATATGAAGATCTAGAGTAGTCAAAATCATGGAAAAAGAAAATAGAATGCTGGGGGAGGAAAAAATGGGTTGTTTGATGGGTAAAGCATTTAATTTTGCAAAATGAAGTTCTAGAGATCTGTTTCACAACAATGCGAATATAGTTAACACTACTGAACTGTACACTTAAAAATGGTTAAGACAGTACATTTTATATTATGTAGTTTTTTTTTAACCCCAATTTTTAAAAACTTCATGGCTTAAAACAACAATTTATGTTTCCCATCATTCTTTGGGTTGCCTGGACTCAGCTGGGCAGTTCTTCCGCTCCAGGAAGTGGAGGCTGAGGCCACACATGTGTCTGCATTCATCTGGGAACTCAACTAGGGCTGGAACATTCAAGTCAGCCTCTCACCTTCCGGGCCATCACTCCAAGTGGTCCCTCATCGGTCTGTAGCCTAGTTGAGCTTCCTTACAGTATGGTGGCTGGCTTCCTAGAAGGAAGAAATGAAAACCAGCGGCCTCTTAAGAGTTAAGCCCAGCCCTGGCTGGTTTGGCTCAGCAGTTAGAGCGTCGGCCTGGGGTCCAGAGAGACCTGGGTTCAGTTCCCGCTAAGGGCATGTACCTCGGTTGCAGTTTGTCCCCAGCACTGGTTGGTCGTGCGGGTGGCAACCATTCGATGTGGCCCTTTCACATCGATGTTTTTCTCTCTCTCTCTCTTCCTCTCTCTCCCACTCTATCTGAACAAAAAATGAAAAATGTCCTCGGGTGAGGATAAAAAAAAAAAGAGTCAAGCCCAGAACTGGCACAGTGTCACTTCTGCCATAGTTTATGGATCAGAGCCAGTCATGAGGCCAGCTCAGATTTAACGGGTGAGGAAACAGATTCCGCCTCTTGATGCACAAGTGGTAAGGTCATGTTGCAAAAAAGTGTGTGGGGTAGGAGACACAGTGTGGCCATCTTGATATCTACTGCAACATTCTGAGCAGGGGGCACCCTAAGTCTTCTGTCCATCTGCCCCATAAAGAGAAAATCTGGACATTTCTGTAAATGGGAAGAGGAACTGAACTAGAAATCAGACTTTCTTTGGTATAAATTCCAAGATGCACAGAAATAGTATAAATAGGAATTCTAGAAGTATAAATAACAATAATAAGGATAATGCACCAGGCTGGGCATTTTGGGGGGCGTAGAGAAGTTTCTGGCTAAGGGCATGCTCAAAGACAGGTTGTGGAGACCGCAGTTACAGAGCTACCTGGTCATTGAAACCCTAAGGGGAGAAGGCAGGGGAAGGAGGGCTTTCTGAACTGTGTCTTGATGAACAATGACAGGCTTTGTGCATATCAGGGATGATCTCAGACAAAGTGACACACAGCAATGACACCCAGAGGGACTTGGGGGGCTCAATTAAGTAGTGGCTAGTGATTTCTCTTCCTCACACATCTGCCCCCAAATCTCTCCAGGCTTAGGGGAAGGTGACTCTGTTTCCTGGAGAAATGGTTCCTGCGTGGCTTCCAAGGACTGCAAATTTGACAACTCCATCTCTGCCCTGACCTACAGAATAGGTTTTGGCTTCTGGGTCAACACCACCTGTTGTCAAGGCGACTGCCAGGAGCCCACTCCTCTCGGTATGCTACCACCAGAAAGCAGTCAGATGGGTGGCTAAGGAGGTGGTTGGGTGACTGGAGGAGAATTTGCCCTGGGTTGAAGAAGGCAGATAGGTGGGAGCATCACCTAACCCCCATTCCATAAGGCACCCTGACCCAGCTCAGTGGGAAAGCCCATTATAGTCGTTCTCCTGTGGTAGAGCCCATGAGTGTAGAGAGTCCTGAGAGGTCCTGAGAGTCCTCCCGAACCACCACCCTTCTCTATACAGCAACTCTGCCGGCCTCACATACCCTGAGCAAGTTCCTGTGTCCTACTTGTGCTGACAGCTACCCAGGGCTCTGCAATTCCTCCTTGTACATGCAGTGTCCCAGTGACGAGACTGAATGTGTCCAGCTGGACCTGGTGTCTGAAAAAGGTAATGTGTGTGTATGAGTGTGCACACTGCTTTTGCATGAGCATGCCTGAGTTTGGCGTCTACCTCTATCATTTACTCTGTGTGACCCAAGATAAGTGACTTCATCTCTTTGAGCCTCAGTTTTCTCTTCTGGTAAATGGGAGTGGTGGAAGCACACCTCACAGTGTTTTGTGAGGATAAAGTGAGTTCATGAAAGAGGCAATAGAGCAGAAGGCATAAAGCAAGACTCTGGGGCCAGGTTGCCTGGGGTCAAATCCCGAATCTACACCACTTATGAGTTGGGTGGTCCTGGGCTTGTGACTTTGCCTCTCTGTGCCTCAATTTCCCATCTGAAAAAGAGGATAATTATAGTTCCTAATTCATAAGACTGTTGTGAGAATTAGGAAAGATAATTCATACAACTTCTAGATGAGCATTGTCCTACAGAAATATAATGTGAACCACAAGTATAATTAAAATGTTTCTAGTAACCACATTAAAAAAGTACAAAGTAACAGGTGAAATTAACTTAATAATCTTTTTTTTTTTTTTTATTCTCACTCAAGGATATTTTTTCTTTGGTTCAGATAGAGTAGGAGGGAGAGAGAGAGTGAGAAACATCGACGTGAAAGGGACACATCGAGTGGTTGCCACCCGCACGACCCAACCAGAGCAGGGACAAACTGCAGCCGAGGTACGTGCCCTTAGAGGGAACTGAACCGGGGTCTCTCTGGACCGCAGGCCGACGCTCTAACCGCTGAGCCAAACCGGCCAGGGCAACTTAATAATCTATTTTATTTAACTCACTATATACCACAGTTATCATGTCAACATGCAACCAATATAGGAAATGACAAATGAGATAACTCTTCATTCATTCTTTCCTACAAAGCCTTTGAAATCTGGTGTGGATTTTACACTCACGGCACCTTTCAGCTCAAACCAGCCACATCTCAGGTGCTCAAAGCCACATGTCACCAGTGGCTACTATATTGAACAGTATAATTCTAGAACATAGCAAGTGTGATATATGGCATTTCAGCAAATCTAAGAGGATATCGATGGATAGACAGGAAGTCAGCTCTACTCAGAGATGTCAAAATGAATGTGTGGGTAGGTGGTGGGATGTTCCTCTTGGAACTGATGGAATTCAATGTCAGTGGTCGTGACTGTTATGTGTGAACAAGGCTAATGTGAAGTGGACAGACCTTCAATTAGGGACTGAATCTGCGGAGGAACTTGAGTTTGTAAGCACAGTTGTGTGTGTGTGTGTGTGTGTGTGTGTGTTTCCTGGGCAGGGATGTCATGTCAGTGGACAGGGTGCATGGGTGTGTTTGTGTTGATTGTATGTGGGCCTCTGGGGGCATCAGGAGAGCTGCATGTGATTGAGATATGTGTGCATGTGGGTACGTGTGGGTTGCTGGGAGTGAGGGTGGATCTGAGACAAAGTCTCACAAATACGGCTCTTCAAAGAATTATATTCCAGTTCAGGACGAAATGAGACAAAGACAGACCATGCTGTGTGTGAGGCTTACATTTATTTTTAACTTTTGTATTATAGAAAAGTTCAAAGATAAGTAAAAAAGGGAACAGTTTAGTAAACCCCCATATACTCTTCACCCAACTCCAGTCAGTATCCACTCGTGGCCAGTCCTGTTGCATCCCCATATTATTTTGAACAGAAACTCAGATATCCTATCACTTCAACCATAAGGATTTCCATCCATAACCCTAAAAGGTAAGGACTGAAAAATAACCTACAGTTGTGGTGAGGTGTTTTTTGTTGGTAAAATAAGACTATTTCACTTTTCTATCCCCCATCAAGTCCTCAATAAACTGGTTATATTTGCATATTGGAATTTATATGTAAGTAGAATACCATATTATTTTTTATTATATTATATGGCTCTGAAGAAGCAAAGGAAATCATCTGGAAAGCTGTACACGAAGCCACCTGGAGGGTGGTGTGAAACGAGTGGCCCCCAGGTGTCAGTTTTATTAACATTGAACACACGGAAAAGAACACCTGTAGCACGCATGTAAGGCATCAAGAAGAACAATGAAAGGGAGCCCTGGCCAGGCCCCAGGTCAGGGGTCAGAGCATTCCTGGTGTTTCCCAAAAGGCTCCGATTGGAGGGCTTCCTTCCCATGTTTCCTATTTGATGTGACCGTTTTGTTTTGTTTTCTTTTTTTTAAGTTTGTGTCCTAACATATGGTCTATCTTTGAGAATTCTTTTTTTCTTTAAAAAAAATTTTTTTTTCTTTATTGATTTTAGAGGGGGAGAGAGAGAAGAGAAACATTGCTTGGCCGCCTCCTGCATGCCCCCCCCCCCCCCCCCCGGGGATCGCGCCCACAACCTGGGCATGTGCCCTGGCGGGGAATCCAACCAGCGACCCCTCGGTGCGCGGGTCGACGCGCAACCACTGAGCCGCACGGGGCATGTGACGCGTGTTCTTTTTCGAAACTTCAGCAAGACTCTGACCTGGAGAACCAGGCGACTCGGAGGGGCTGGAGGGAGTTTCCCAGGGATTTACTTAGTCAGAGAAACCCGGAAGCTTGGGGCCGGGGATGCCCGCTGCAGCGGGTGACGCGTACGTGAGCACGAGAGCGTGTGCAGGTGACACCTGCCAGCCGCAGCCTCACGTCCCCTGCCCACCCCGTCTCCACAGGCGGCCGGAACCTGACCGTGCGCGGCTGCGGATCTCGCGACCTGTGCGGCGACCCGGCGGGGACAACGGGGCTCTGGGCGCTCCCCGGCCACCGGCTGGCCGGCCCGCCCGACTGCAGCTCCAGCCAACGCGCCGTCATCGACTCCAAGTGCCACTCGGGAGCGGCGCCTGGCCTCCGCCTCGCCCTGCCGGTGCTGGTGGCCCAGCTGGCGGCCACGGCACTCTCCTGAGCAATCCCTGGCCCACCCTCGCCCACGTCGCCCACCCTCGCCCGAGAGTACCCTCTTGTCCGCTCGTCGCTAGATGGCGCCCTGGCTCCCCTCTGCGGGGACATTTCTAGGGGCCTGGAGCTTCTGGTGAGAAAGTCAAGAAGGGGTGAGCCTCCTCCCTCAGGCTAGGGCTTCCCCAGGGCTGGTCCTCTTCTTCACACCAGGGCCGCAAAGGCTATATTTCCCCGCTCAGACGAGGCTGATTTTTTCTTCCTCAGATTAGAGACGCCTCTCTAGTTACACATTCTCCTCCACACTGGGAACCTCAAAGACTAGGCCTCCTTCCTCCAAGGGGGGCATCTCCACACCAGGCTACTCCCACAGACAAGGGCTGTGTCTTTGCTCCCCGACACTGGGAAACAACTCCTCCTCTTTAGGGTCTAGCAAAGGCCTGGGCAGCCAGGTGGGGCTTGAGGACCAAATACACCCCCTACACAGGCTTTTACAGCAACCTAGCCCACCTCCAGTACGGTCCCCTCGGTCCCCTCTGTCTGGGTTCAGCCTCTGCAAGGTCACCAAATCTGAATGAATCTCATCGCACAAGCTGAGTGGTTTGGGTTTCCGTTTTTGGTGGTGGCAGCTTCAAACAGGCCCTGAGGCCAGGCCTCTCTAGGGCTGGGGATTCTGAGACCTAAGGGGACCTGCAGATGACAATGTCTGGGAGCCAAGGTGGGCATAAGATCAAGTGCTCAGTCTGGTGTGAGCGTCATTTTAGAGCCAGGATTGAACCCAAAGGATTGAACAGAGAAGTAAGAACATGGAGCTCACAGGAGGCAGAAGGCCAGGAACCATTCCGCTGGAAGTAATGGAAAGTCCAACTAAGAGAACTGAAACAATTCACGTAGCATCCATTTGACAAATATTTACTGATTGCATTTATCAATCAAGCACAGTTCTAGACACTGGGGGTACATAGTAAAAAAAAAAAAATTCTCTGCTCTCAGGAAGTTATGTTTCAGTGGGGGAGAAAGATAATAAACATCACATACAATATACCAGATGGTGATAAGTGCTGTGGAGAAAACGGTGCAGGGAGGAGAACCGGGGAGTGCTGGGACAGGGGTGCACTTTATATGGGGTCTCCAGAAGGTGACATCTGAGTAAAGACCCAAAAGGAATGAGGGAAAGGGCCATGCAGATGGCTGGGGCGGGGAGGGGTAGCATTCCAGAAGGAGGGAACTGCAAACAAAGGCCCGAGGCAGGAGCAGTAAAGACCAGCTAATTCTGTACAGCAAAACAGAATGGAGGTAGGAGGCTCAGGGGTTATTAACTGAGCAGTTCAAAGGAGTCATCCACAACCTACCTGCTGCTCTGCCCTCCTCAGCATGCTGGTGTTTGCATGATGATAGCTGTAGTTCTGTTACGGGCTATAAGAAGCTAGGAAAATTCCAGGGCAGGGGGAATATGGGAAGTGAGACAAGAAAATTAAATAAGGCTGAATAGTTTGGCAGCCTTCAGCCAGCTTGTATATAGCAAGAAGGCTTCAGGCAGCCTTCACCTTATCTTCCCCCAACCAAGGATGCTTGATGTCTCCAAAGAATGCAAGGGGGGCGGGGGGACGAAAGGGGAGAGGAGGAGGAATCTTAATGCAACTTGAGAATACATAGCTTAAATCACCCTGAAACTAACTAAAAGACAGCAGGGAGGAGGAAGGAGGAGAAGGAAGAGTACAGTGTTATCTCATCCCACTGTTATCCGTGGAAGTGGTGTCCGCCCAGGGGAGTGGGGGATCCCTTTCTCCACTGGGTGCTGGTGTTCGGGTTCTTGTGATATCTCGAGAAAAAGAATTTTCTAAGACTCGCACAGGAGAATGAGTGATCTTTATTTGTATGAAGTTACATCCCTCGGTTTCTAAAGTCCCAGTTCCCTTAAATCAGTCCTGGAAAATATGCAGCTGGGGTTTCAGCAGAGCTAGAAGCAAAGCCAGCATCCAGGGTTTTCATTCCATGGTGAAGTTAAGTCCAGTGTAGCATCAGGCTAATCACAGTCCATCAGTCCATTGTGTGTGGGGTCCACATGGCCGTGAGCCATGTAGGTAACTGCAGGAGCATGAGAACCCTACAAGCCAGGAGTCAGGTGCCAGCAGCAAAAGAGAAAAAAAGGGGGGTGGGGAGAACTCCCTTTGTTCAGGAGCTTAAGTATCTAAGATTTTGTGCCCTTGCGGTGGTAACACCTATTCTGGCCAATGACTTGCTCTCAGGTGTGATTGACAGGCAAGTACCTTTCCACATCACCCAGACCTAACTGGGCATGCATCTATTGTTCAGTCCCTTCCCCCAGTGATCTGCAGGAAACAGACCTGGAGAGTGTTAAACTGCAGCTTTCTGGCAAAGCTGTACAAATGGCATGCCTATATTATCTGGCCCTCCCTTTGCTCTTTTCCTGTTAATTAATAACCAGGTTATACAACAGTATCACTACTGTTTAAACAAAAAAGCCAATAGTCTCAGGATTTACTTGCCAGGTGCTCTTCAGAAATTCTGAGAAAGCTATTACAAAGTAAAAGGGAGGGAGACCTTCAGAGTTAACCTGTACCAGGATATCTAAGAGAAGAACTTTAAAATCTATAAACAGAAAAGTATATAAGGCAACCCTCTCACCACTACCACCACTGTACTCGCTCTTCAGATTAGCTGAGAGCCCACTGATACTTCATGCCGGGTGATAGATTTACTTGTCTTGCTTCTCTAATAAATTTGCATGCTTTACTTTCTTAATACATTCACTTTAACACAACACAATTATCTGGAGTCACTCATTTGAGTTCATTCCTGTGAGCAAGACAAGAATCAAGGTGGGGACAGCCCTCTCCCTCTGACTCAGAGAGAGGGCTGCCTGATAACACCTCTCTGGTGTCTGTGAGAGGTGCTTGTAACAGTTCCAGCACCATGACCTCATACAACCATATCCAAAGTTGGAAGAGGTGGCCTCAGTCCTTATCTTTTCAGAAACCCCATCTCCCAGCATACTTCCCTCATGTTTCACTGGCCAGGACTGAGTGGCCAATCCCTGACAAGGTAATGCATTGTCCTGATTGACTTCATCTCATCAAGATTCAGTCCCTGGGGCTGAGAGAGGCCCAGCCTCTCAGAAGATATGTGACTGCCTCAGAGTCTGGACAAAACAGGGTTCTATTCGCAAAGAAAAAAAGGACCAATAAGGATCAGTTAGGACCAAAAAAAGCACTTTAGGTATTTCAACAGAAGGAATTGCATACAGGGAATGGCTTGCATTGTGTTGGAAGGGCTGGGGGAAAAGAAGAGAAGGGAGGGAGCTGGAGAGGAAGAAACGGGGGTGCTTTCCAGTTACTGGGGCTCTGTAACAAATCATCCCAACACTTGGTGGCACAAAGCAATCAGGGAGGCCCTGGCCAGTTTGACTCAGCGCTTAGAGCATCGGCCTGCGGGTTTGGTTTCCGCTAAGGGCACATACCTCGGTTGCAGTTTGTTCGTGGCCCTGGTTGGTCGTGCGGGTGGCAGCCACTCAATGTGTCCTTTTCACATTGATGTTTCTCTCTCTCTCTCTTCCTCTCTCTCCCTCCCACTCTATCTGAACAAAAAATAGAAAAATGTCCTCAGGTGAGGATAAAAAACAAACAAAGCAATCTGGTTCCCGCTGATAGAGTTGACGGAAGAGTTGGTATGGCCACAGAAATCGGAATAGTACACGTGGACAGCTCCTTAGAAGGAAACAGCAGTCTTCACTATTATTATTGGGGAAAAGTGTCCTTTGGGTCATGCTGTCAGGATATGTGTTCCACTCCCAAAACCTCTTTCTGCTACCTAACAAGGCCTCTGGCAGGAGGATGCCTGCCCTAAGGTGAGGGTGCAGAGGAGCCTAGGGTGGCTGTGGAGGGGGCAGAAAAAGGCAGGGGCTATTTCTGTGAGACTAGAGGCCCCAGGGATTTGGCCAGGAAATGATCTATCCCCGCTGAGCAGGCAGGTGCTCAGGAAATGCTTGCAGCGGAAACTGGATTTAATGCCCATGACCCAGAGTCTGCAGGGAGAGAAAGGGACTTTGAGGGCAGGGTGAAGCTAACCTGGGCAGAGAATTTAATTTTATTGTACATTTCTAATTTTCTGTAAGGGCATAAAATGTGAGCACATTTTTCAAGTTAAAAACTTCAATTATTTAAAACATACAGAAACAAGTGAAAGATGGAAAACATCAGACCAGCTCAAATCCCCAGCAGCCCCTTCCCTGACCACATCTCCTTGCCTCTCTCCTCGCCTGACATAACTTCTACCCTAAACATGAGATTTGTAATTTTGCTACATACACATGTGCTTTGAATTTTTAAAGTCTTTTCCCTTTTCCTTTCTTCTCCTCTTCTTCTTTTCTCCCCTAAAGACTCTCCCTGGGGACCCCTACCCCAGGAATGGCATGTTAACAACCTCCTATATCTCCTCTGGTTATTTCCCAACTCAACCCCATATACACATTTGATACATATATATGTGTAGATATATGCATATAGATGTATTTATATCAATATATATGTAGTTATATATGTCTACCTATATACATATGTATATATACATATGTCATTGTTACAGGAAAGGGGACCTGGCCCTGAGCTGGTCTGCCTAGGACCAGCAGGTGGTGTGTGGGTTCTTGACTTCAAGTCCAGGTGATTATGAGGACACATTTATTAAAGCTGGGGACAGTAAAACAAGGAAGAGCTTAGCATAGAATATGCTAGAATACTGAAGTTGAAAAAATATCTTAAAATTATCTAAAGAGTATATTTAAACTATTTTGAGTTAAAATGTTTTATTTATATCGAAACAGAGTGTTGTAATTTTATTTTGGCACAAGTTAATTAAAAATTATTTAACACTGCTCTGGCTGGTGTGGCTCGGTGGTTGAGCATTGTCTCATGCACCAAAAGGCTGCTAGTTTGATTCCTGGTCAGGGCACATGCCTGGGTTGTGGGCTTGATCCCCAGTAGGGGGCATGCA